GGGAGCCCGATGCGGGGCTCGATCCCAGGACCCTGGGATCATGACCTGAGCCGAAGGCAGACGCTTAACGACTGAGCCACCCAGGCGCCCCAAAACAAAGCATTTTTAAAAGTATAAAAACCCCAGCAAAACAGAATTGAGAGTGCAAATGGCAAAGGCACAGATTCCCACACTTATGTGTGTAACAATCACCATGATACACCAGAGTAGAAATGTAATAAAAAATTCTCACTACATGCTTTAGGATCTTCTCAACTAAGCTCTAATAAGAAAAAGACCCAAAGGGGGGGGTGGTGCCTGGCTGGCTCAGTTGGAAGAGCATACAACTCTTGATATCGGGATCATGAGTTCAAGCCCCACATTGGGGGTAGAGATTACTTAAATAAATAAATATTTTTTTAAAAAGAGAGAGAGAACCCAAAGGATTTAGAAAGCTGCTCTAGCCCTGCAGTTTGGCAAAGAAAATGGGATAGGAATTGCAAAATAGGAAGCACGCCTTGAAAGGTCACTAAACCAAAATTATGAAGTGAAAACAATCAGCTCAAAAAGAAAACTCCAGATGGCCATCAGGAGGGATGCATGATACCTGGACAAGGTCCTTCCTTCCAACAAGCAAGGCAGAAGTGGCATTCTTCTGGCATGTTTCTTGAATATCATTCACATTCAATCTGAAATGTAAAAAGAATTAATAAGAAGTTTCTTTCTAGTCTAACCTCCTAAATCAGTGACCCCTGGTTTAACAGACAAACTAAAAACTGCCTCTTTAGTTGTCATCCAAAATGTTTTATCCATGTTGGCCTTAAGCTTTACTCTTGCTACGTAATATGGAGAAAAAGCTTACCCGCAGCTCAGGCTGGGGTTCGTGCCTGGGGAAGGTGAAATTGTTCACCTCTCTGAAGTCAGGACAGGAGGCCAACCCCAAATGTCAATTTGGCAACCAGCTTTTCTGTGGATTTCCCCAGGCTTAACGGTTGAATAAAAAGGAATTTAAATATGTGCAACACTGTGGGGTTTCTAACACAGAGTGGTGTGCTGTGTATGTATTACACAATAAACACTTTTTGTTATGTGTTCCAGTTCAAGAAGAAGGCCAGCCTCTGTATGCCTGTCACTAGCCTCCCAACTCCCTACAACCAAAGTGGCTCTGCTTTTAACTGTTTTACAAATAGGTATCGAAAGCAGAATTCTGAGGCCCCCTCCCACCACACATCTATTATAATCTCCTCCCTTTAATTATGGGTGATACCAGTGAATATTGATGGGCTATCACACCCAAGATTAGGTTATTAATCAGTCCACTGTGAATGTGTCAAAAGGGAGATTATCTTAGGTGGGCCTGACCTAATCAGGTGAGACCTTAGAAAGAAAGTGAAGCATCAGAGAGAAACTCCTGCTGGTCTTGAAGATGAAAATCACCGAGTTCTATGTCTTCAAGGAATTAAATTCTGCTAACAACCTGAATGAGCTTGGAAGAGGACTCTGAACATTGGATAAGAGCACTACCTGGCCACCTCTACGATTTCAGCCTGGTGAGCCCTGAGCAAGGACCCAGCTAAGCCATGCCCGGCCCCTGACCCATGGAAACCGAGATAATAGATGTATGTTATTTTAAGCTGCTAAGTTTGTGGTACCTTGTTATGCAGCAACAGAAAGCTCAGATATTGGTCTCCTCCTAAAACTTCTTCTGAATAAAGGGTTCCAATACTTATTTATTTTTTTTAGGGAGAGAGAGAAAGAGACACACAGAGAGTGAGTGTGCATGGGGAGAGGGGACGGGGGTGCAGGGAGAGGAAGACAAAATCTCAAGGAGGCTCCACACCCAGCATGGAAGCCCGAAACAGGGCTTGAACTCACAACCTTGAGATCATGGCCTGAGCCATAATCGAGAGCCAATCGCTTAACGACGGAGCCACCCGGGCTCCCCGAAAGGGTTCCAGTACTTTAATATTTTTAAAATACTTTTAAAAAAAGAAGCAAAACCACGTGGATTATGATGACTGTGTGATAAGCATGGCAGACTTACATGTACAGTTCTCCCAGTGATTTGTGAACAGGAAGAAGGCATGCAGTGTCCTGGATGATAACTTTCCCAGCAGCCTTGATCGGTCGATTGCCGGAGTCCGATCCCTCACGCTTGCTTTTCCATCTCCTGGATTTCTGGGGGGAGATGACGAGATATAACTAATGGGGACTTTGATGAATGGAAACCTACAGTCGCAGAGCACGTCAGAGTTGGGTCATTGGTTATTTGCAGAGACTCTGCATTACATCATGCCCACAATTATATGAATCAGCATCTGTAGAAAATAAAAGGATGGCAAAGGGCATTGAGCTCTTGGTTCCAAAATCCTAACAGGAACATATGCACCTACTGCAGTGCTACATGCATGGTACAGATGCCCAAAAATAGATACCTTGAATCTAGAATTAAAAAAAAAAAAGAAAGAAAAGAAAGAACAGCAGGTAAATAAGTTAGTAAAGACCCCAAAAATGTGGGAGAAGAGCAACTTTTAAGCTTGGGATCAGCCTTAGGTTCAAAGTTCTTGCCTGAAGCTAATCAAAGGTTTTTTTCTTCTCAGACAGCTTTAATAGGATTTGTTGAAAATTTAACTCAGACACAGCAGTGTGGGCTCTGCAAACCTTAATCTGTGGCAGGCAGACCGAGAAACTTAGCAGCTCAAGGAGAATTACCTGGTTTTTCCTAGCAGACTTGAATTACTTCTAAAAGTGATCATTGTAGAATGCCAAAAATACTTGAGCAGAGGGACCTGGGTAATGGACACGGAAGATCATGAGCAACTGTCCTATTTCCCCAGAGCCTCCCCTACAAAGGAGCCTGTGTGTGGGAAATGAGAGATGTCCTGGAAAGGGAGAATTATCAGCGTAGCCCGATCTGGTATCTTCAAAACGACAACCAGCCGAGGGAACAATATTCTATTTTATTTTATTGCTGGAAGTTAAAAAGGGGGCCACCAAAGTCATTCAACTCAGGGGGGAGGTGACATACTTATTAACAAAGTTGCTAGGGAAGGGGCCTGCAATCTGGAGTCAGAAAACCAAGGTGTGCTGGTCTTATTAACATCTGTGCTGGTTCAGTATGACCCTGGGTGGGCTCCTTATTTGCTATGAACTTAATCTCATGTCATCCTCTTTGCTCACTGATAACTATGCCTCAGGATGAGCTCCTTTCCGATCTTGCAAGTCTAATAAGGCCACAGTGAAAAGGTAAGAGTGCAGACTGAAAACATACAATTAAATCAAATCTGTAATGATTATAAATGTATTACAAGCCCTCAGGAATTTAGATCATTACTTATATTACTCACAAGTAATTCATTTTCCGCTAGTGATTTTTCTACACTCTTCCATTCATTAGTCATGGTCTATAGTTAGTCGCTTCTGACCAGTGATGTCCCATCTAATCCCCAAAGGTGCCCACAGCATGGAACTTCCTATGGGCTCAGTAAGGGTTATGGAATCTACTAGATCCAGGACACCTGGACTCGGTTCATGGCAGATGAAGTTTAGCTGAGGTCTCTGAACTTTTTATCATAATTTGTAAATACATGTGCTACATTATCAATTTGGAACTTTGACCCAGTTGATCTTAAGCAGCAATTGAGTTACTTTGTGCTCTTTATTCATACACATCATTACTATCAATACAAGAGAAGCCCTGTCTACTATTGTCCGGCAGCCCTTCGATTCTCGATTTGTGCTGCCTAGTTTCTAAAGAGTTATGTACACACTCACAAAAATACTAGCCTTTTAGCCACAAATAGCCTGATGAGGATGCAACTAAGGGGAGAATGGGCTAAAGAGCAAACAGCCTGTCAGAATGGACTGGAGCCAGGCAGTATTAACCAACACAGGACAGATGTTGTCCATGTGCATGAAATAATTTGACGTGACTGGTTGAGGGCAGGGTAATTCTGTGGACAACTACCAGGCAGTGACTGGAACAGCACAGTGTGGTGAACTGGAACAGGGAGGGTGTTAAGTACATAAACTTTTTCATCCAGGTTTCCAGGAGTTTAAAAATTCCAGGAAACAACACCCATAGGTCCTACATAATTGAATATCTCAAATGAAATTTGGGGTACTGGATTTAAAAAGTAAGAAAGAAACAAAAGGAAAAGATCCGACACTAAAAAAATTCCACCTGGAATGGAATATGATCCATCTCATTGGTTTTCTGTGTTGGGTGGAAGGCTTCTAAAACACTGTTCCAGGCAGACACTCTGGCTCGTTGTTACGAGAGAAAATGAGGAGTGTTTGAACAACTGGGCACTTCACTATAGCACCATGTGACTAAAAGGTGGAAATAAATGGAGGCCTCATGAGGGATGGGGTCTACTAGCTTTCGGACCACACTGAAAACCACCACAATGTCCATCTTTTTAAGCAAACTCAATGAAAGCAAAATATTAAGGCCTGTGTGCCAAAAGTGGTCCCTTTGCATACAGACTAGCTCATTTAAAAATGTTTTTCCTAGCAGACGTGAATTATTTCTGAAAGTGATCATTTTAGAATGCCAAAAATACTTGAGCAGAAGGACCTGGGTAATGGACATGGAAGATCATGAGCAACTGTCCTATTTCCCCACAGCCTCACCTTCAAATGGCACAGATGGTCTTATATGTGGGAAATGAAAGATGTCCCGGACACAAGTCCAAGCGTATAAATGTATGACTTAGGATTTACAGATTTGTCTGTTATTATGAACAACAGGAGCTCCCGCTCGGGGCTGTTTCCTCTCTGCGAGCGTGGGCATTACCTCGGCTCTCTGAAAGAGGGGCTGCTCCTTCCATTTCACAAATGAGAATGTGAGTCTTACTTGAGGCCACACTCCTAAGAGCTGAGATTTGAACACAGGCTGTCAGGCTGCTAAGCCCATCCTTATTAACCTGCTTTCGAGTGCATGATTTTGGATTAAAAAGAAAAAAAAAAAAAAAAGCCCTAAGACTAAGCTATCTGTTACTATGTAAACAGTTTGGTCCATTTTTAAATGGATCCATTTCTGCATATAAGGAGATCAACATCTGATGGTATCGAGTCCTGACACCCGTCTCTACAACTGCTCTCATTTCACTTCTCTGCCAAGTATCCCGAGCACATCCAGAGCAGCACGCTGAATACCAGCAGAGACAAGAGGCGGCCGTGGCTACAGGCTTCATGTGGGGCTCACCGGGCTCAGACCCAGATGCTGTATTTCAAGCCAGGCTCAAGAGCCTGACCCTCACACTCTGTTTCATCCCCTTTCTGGGTGTGGGAGGGGTAGGCACGTTCAGAGGGAAGAGAACGGAGTCCAAAGAGATGCCTTAGGGCTCTTCCCTCTGCCCATCTGTGGTCCTTGGTTACAGAGATGGGGAGAAACAAACCCATGTGAGTCATCAATAGGTACTTAATGAAAATGTAAAGACAGTGGTCTTGGACAACTCTCTGTAATCATCCTTCACTGAATTATGCAAATCACAGTCTGGATTTCCTGGGACTGGCTTGGCAACTTCTTGAGACAGCAGGCTTCCAGGTGGTTTCGCCGATCCGTTCTGAAGTACAGGCGATGTGTGGTAGAAACTCACTAAGCTGCCTCTGAGCTTGTAACAGGAGGTTCGCCACCACTGGGTCACCCTAACCACAGCTGCCACCAAGCCTCAAACTATAAAAGCAATTCTGGGACAGCGCTGTGCATTCATATAATCCAGCAAGGAATAACTGCAAAACATTATCAAAAATCTGTAAGGGGTCATAAAAGAGTTTTGTTTTTTCTCTTTAGTGGTTGGTGGTTTTTAAATACGAAGTACCTCCCCTTCAGGCTAGAGGGGTCTCCCAGTACTCCAGTCTAGTGACTAATTATTCTGGGGATGCAAATATAACAAGGCCACCTAAATAAACACATGCTCAATCTCCAATCAGATGTCAGGGCCTTAGGTCCTCGCTGCTCCCGAATGAGCACAGATAACTTTTCTGCAGCAAAAAGGGTTCATATTCCAACCACACTTCCCCAAGACTTCTTTTTCCCTTACAGCTTGCTGGTGATTTGAGGAATCTCTCATCTGTGCAACTGTCAGGTGACAACAGGCAGAGAACAGCAACACACCAGGCTGAGGTGAGGCTGAACGTCCCAGGTGAGGGAGGGCACTCTGGCCTAAAAGCCCCTGAAACCTCCCGCATTGCTCCAGTCCCACTCTGACGGGCTTCAATGTGGGTGCTTTTCTGTGCAGTAGGATCAGTCCCTCTGGGAGGCAAAGGGCCCTGCGTTTCTCTTGGGTCTTCTCAATGCCCCATCACAGGAAATGCCCCTTCCCCACAGATTTCATAAGCAGGGATTGAGGGAAGAGAGACAAAACGAGACAGACAATTATCACATGAGGAGCACCGGGATGCTCCTCTGAACATACCAAGAAGGCGTTCATGGAATCAGAGGAAGGAGGACAGGGAGGAAAGGACTGGGGATAGGGGAGGCACTGGTGCGAAGAGCACTGAATGACAACCAAGATAGCCAGCTTGCGACCGCACCACCAGTATTACTGCTACAATCGGAGGCGACATCAATGCCAATAAATGGGTTAAATGTAAAAACAGCCCAAGAATAAGCCACCAACTGCTTCGCAGCAACCCCACCAACAATGCAAAATCAGCAGAGTGGGCGGTGAGTCAACATGAGTTCCTAGTTCAATAGCAGCAGGAGCAGAGACTTCTGGAAATCAGTGGAAATCCAGCAGTCGGGTTGGCTGGGACAGGCTTTTGGAGGAAAGGCGGCCACGTTGGCTCTGCCCGCAAGTTGTCAGCAGCAGCAGTACGTGCTAATCAGGGCTCCTGATTTCAACTGGGTTCGATATGAAAAGGCTATAGGACGATTCCCCGAAAAATTTTTTACACCGAATAAAATTTACAAAAAAGCCACGAGGCTGCCTTGCACAGCCCGAGGCCACCTTGGCACTACTGAAACATGAAGGGGGTGGGAGAGGAAGACAGAAGAGGGGGGGTGGCCAGCAGGAACGAGGAAGAGAGAAAGAAAAGAGAGAGGATGTCCACAGCAGAGGTTTCATTGCAATGCAAAATACTGATGGCAAGGAAAAAATTGTTCCAGAAAGTTCCTGAACGATTAAAAACTAGCTTATGCATCATGCCAATGAAGCAGGTGAGCACTTCCCTCTTTGAACTAGACCAAGACGATAAAAACAGAGAGACAAAATGGTGGAAGCCTCTTATATCTTCCTCTGCTTCACCCCATGCCAAAGGTAGGCTTTTGAAAGCTCCAGGAAATTATACAAATACTCCAAATGAAATCAGGTGAGCTAAAGGCTTACAGTTGGGGTTCTTTCCAAGAAACCCAGTGTTTGGCTTCATTTTTAAAGAAGCCCATTCACGATCCTTAACAGTCTCAGTATTCACCCATTTGAAAGTGGATGAAACAAGGAGGAAGTCCTCGGTGCCTGACTCCCAAGAGTGAAAAATTTATTGTGCTGGTCCTGAAAACCAGCCAGCCTGTCACTCAGGTTCCTCAAAGCCAGGCAGGTGGCATTTTATTCTTGGGCCTTTGGGCAGACAGGATTAGTCAAGGAGAGCATTTGCACAGCGCACAGTACCGGGAAGTCGTTAATTGCTTGTATGGACCAACGTCGCCGGGCAGAGCGAGGAGACATCTGTGCGTGAAAACGTTACACCCAGGAGGAGGGAAGAAAAACACCAAGAAAATTAAAAGGGAAAAATATAGAATAAAATGAAAGCTTCCCACACATCTGATGGATTAAAAGGTACCACAATTTACTGCAAAATCGGGTTTGAACAACTAAAAATCTAAACCTCAGCAGAGCAATATTTGGATTCCCTCACCTCCCTCCCGACCCATTGCTCTCCCAACCCAGCTTCAGTGTCATCGTTCTTCAGTTCGAAACACATCTCAAGATATAAGGAGGCTGAGGTCAATGTTGGTGTACTCTAGGGAGGATCGCAGGGCAAGTCGAGAAATGGGTGGAGGGTCTCCCCTGCCCATCAAGAGCACATGTATGTGCGAGAAGATTCTCATTCCTAAAAAGGAAGAAGTTCTTTGGTAGACTTGACACCCAACTGTTTCTGGTGTGTGGTTTGGTGGGCATTGGGGAAAGTGGAAGCCTTGACCTCAGGGCTGCAGGGCTATTTTCAGAGTGATGAGTAAGCAAGTGTGCATGAGAAATGGAGGGAAAGAGGGAGCAAGGCTGAAGAGCTGCCCTCCTGAGGGCACTGGCTAACAACATGAGCATCAGTGTGAAACTGGGGCCGAAAAGCACGGTTTATGGAAATCAGAAATTATTCTATTAACTTCAAGACCGCCTCAGTTATTTACATTAGAGCTATTTTAGTGACATAAACTGAAGCACGGGTGCAAAATTTTAGACATGTTTATAGGCCAAGGCCTAATGTTTATCACAAGTTCTGGGTCTTCTGATTTGTCCTAGGAATAAACAATATTTCATCAACTATTAATAGTTGGTCCAGTTACCAAATGAATGCTAGCATCTCTCCAGCTTTCTAACTTCCTATAAAATTTGATAGTTGGTTTTTATTGTTGTTGTTTTTTTAGGTCTCTCACATTTTTAAGTATTTAGCAACGAACCTTGGAATTCCATCTGGAGAACATTTGGGTGAATATAATAATATGACCTAAGTAGGGCAGGTTAAAAATACATAAAAACAAGACAAACAAATGGTAAAATCCCCAGTGGTTCCATAAAGCATCTTATAATCTCCAAAACACTCTATAATTCCTTCACTGCTATACTTTAATGCAGTTATATTCTCTTCCTTGTCTCTTACTCATTTAACGATCTCAAGGGTAGAGATCTGAAAGAGAATAAAAATATGTAGGGGAAAAACTGGGGCTGAAAATAAAGACTTAAGCACAGAGAAATGTGGCAATCTGGAATCATTTTGAGAACAAAAGTAATAAAAGTGGTATTATTTGACATGTCAAACTAGATACCTAAGGATAAGAAAATACTCCTTGAGGGATAAAACTATATCGACCTCTAAGAGGAAGGAAGATGGCCTCTATAAGGTCATGGCTGTGTTTCATTTCCCTGTGCCTCAAGTAATGGGATGGACATGAACAGGTTCAAGGAGAGATGAATTTATTTCAGATTCGTCACAAAATGACTCACTTGTTTAACTTCTTATGAGGTTGAACCACATGAAACTTTTTGAGATTAAAAATGGTCAAGTATCGGGGCACCTGGGTAGCTCAGATAGTTAGGCAACTGCCTTCGGGTCAGGTCATGATCCCAGGGTCCTGGGATCGAGCCCCATATCGGACTCCCTGCTTGGTGGGGAGCCTGCCTCTCCCTCTCCCTCTACTGTTCCCCCTGCCTGTGGTATCTGTCAAATAAATAAATAAAATCTTAAATAAATAAATAAATAAATAAATAAGGTATCAGTAATTTCATAGGATTTCACCTAATAACTACTATATGTCACCCACTGAGATGTGCTTTCCTCCCAAGAGCTTCTACAGTTCTTAGAATGTTCTATTTCTCGGCCTGTGTGACTGTTAATTGACTGAATTATATACTTATGATTTGTGAACTTTTCTGTACGTATATTACACAGAAATACAAACATTTCATATAAAATTACAAGTGTCTGCCCCCATTTTATATGGCCAGTCTCTGAAATAAAACTTAAAGATCACTTACTATATGAGGTCATCTTAGGGACTATAATAGTCTGTTTTCTGTGGAGAAGCTGTATATTGGGAGCCATCCGAAAGTGAAGTATCACATCCTTCCCCTCCTCCCAGCAGATCCTGTCTGATAAAAGGTCATTATCTATGTGCCTTTGGTCCCTCTTTATGATTATGGCATTTATGGTAAAAGAAGCCAGACTGTGAAAAACATGTACGTAAGTAAGGCTTTACAAACGCTTTTGCATTAGGAGAGGTCCCATCGTGGAACTGGAGTTACTGTGACTAGGCACGGACTTTCTGCACTGTCAGAGTCAAAATGCTAGTCCACCTATTTTCCCAATCCAAACCCAAGCAGGAGTAACACATGACATGACTCAGAGGGGGATTCAGAACTGTCTCATTGACTAAAAGATCTCCTCAGCCTGGCCCTGATGCTAAAGAAAATTCCCCCATCTACCCAACCATGAGTTTGTTTGACTGTTACGTCAATAAAATGCCTACTAGCTTGCTTAGAGGGGAAGAAAACCTAAAAATTTTGAATGTAAAGGACTTGGGAAGATAACAGGGGCCAGAGGGGCACAGTTCTGTCAGAGAGGTGAAGAAGAGGACTACAGAAAGGCAACAATCACTGTCCCCATCCAGCAGAGTGGTCTTGTCCAAGGCTGGTCCTGTCTCAAGCGTCAGTCCCTGCTGCTCATTTCAGTCACACACCAACCCTAAGACTAGACAAAGGCAGAGGTGTCCAACCACCAGCGTGAACCAAGGCTAGACACCACACTGCAATCGAAGTGCAGACACCTCTAACACCTGCTGGAAACTGGGTTTTTATTTAAAATAATTCAATTTTTTAAAAAACACATTTCAGTGATAGTCAATCCATCATTTCTCAATTAGTTCGGGACAGCAACAAAGAATTCTTAAGGACTGAGCTGGTTAATAGCTTGGTGGTAGCTGTGTTTAAAACATCATGTCAGTTAAAAGGCAGTTTAAACCAGCCTCTCAATCTGACAACACAGAAAGAGTTCTTAGAAGCACTCCTACACTCTGCCAACATTCTCTACAGTGTCGTCACCAAAGGCTTCTGACAGCTTAATATAGCTACGTTAGGGACGAGGAGTTCCTGGAGAACCCAGGAACACAAGGACAGGCTCAGGTGATTTTCACATAAACTTTCCCATTCAGATGGGCACTTCGGTGTAGACTTAGTAAAAGCATAAGACCCCTCAGAGGTCAACTCGAAAACTTCTCACCGCTATGACGTTCTAAATATATTGAGATCCCAAGCCTTCAGAAGCATCCCTTAATTTGTTGACAAACATCAGAACACCAAGGAAGATCTGAAGCTAAATTATCCTACCTGAAACAGTGGGAATTACCTTAACAAGTGGAGGTAACAAGGATCGGGTTAAATGGAAAGTGACGAATATGGATTATAAGAACCACCCCATCCCTCCACACACACAATTCACAGTAGTTAAAACCAACTGGAAGGAACAAAGCAAAGGTCCTTCTTGAACAAACTAATTTTGAAAGTTAAAGACTACAGGGGGATTACTAACCTGGCTGCTTTGCACAGCAGGCAGGGAGACAAAGGACAAGAACCCAGAAGGAATAAGAATCGAAGGCCATGGCTCTGCTGCTTACCCGCTCCTTATAGTAGAAGGAGCTGATGGAGACTTGCTCCTTCTCACTGCGAGTGGGGCTCCCGCTGTACAAACGAAGGTTCCCAGGGGCCTCCGTGCGGATCTTCATGGGAGCAATCAAGCCAGTATGATAAGCAGACAAAGCTGACAGAGACCTGTGGTTGAAAACGCAGAATTATCCATACTGGCTAGAGTCCTTCCATATTTCCAAGTAGTGTTACTCTTTTTTTTTTTTTTTTAAAGATTCTATTTATTTATTTGAGAGAGAGAGTCAGAGAGAGAAAGAGCACAAGAGGGGGGAGCGGGAGAGGTAGAAGCAGACTCCCTGCCGAGCAGGGAGCCCGATGCGGGACTCGATCCCGGGACTCCAGGATCATGACCTGAGCCGAAGGCAGTTGCTCAACCAACTGAGCCACCCAGGCACCCCAAGTAGTGTTACTCTTAAGCACGTGATGAAACCAAGAGAAAAAAAAGATAGGTAAAATGGGAAAAAAAGGAAACAAAAAAAGAACAAAATGAACTTATGAAACAGAAAAACGCTTTGTCTGCAAAAGCAGAGAATACTTCTGACTGTATACATAGAAAACTCAAAGGAATCTGCAAACTAGTACAGCTAATAAGTGAATTTAAATAGGAGGCCAATCTATAAAAATCTACTTATTTCTATATATTAGAAACAAACATTTGGAAATAAACATTTAAAAAATTTCATTTACAATAGCATCAAATACCTAGAAACAAATTTAATTTTAAAATGTGCATTGAAAATACAAAATATTGCTGAGAAATTAAAGAAGACTCAAAACAATAGATATATACCATGTTAGTGTATTGGAAGATTCCACATTATTGTCAAGGTGTCCATTTTCTCCAAACTGATCTACAGAGTCAACACATTTCCAATCAAAATATGAATAGGCTTTTTTTTCTTTGTAGAAACCAATAGGCCATTTCATATTTTTACAAGAATGCAAAAGACCTAGAGTAGCCAACATAATCCTGAAGAATAATAAAGTTGGAGGACACACCCTAGCAGATTTGAAGACCTACTATATAAAAGCTACATTAAGAGTATAGTGTTGGCATACAGAGAAACCAATAGATGAAAGGGAAAAAAAACAAAAAAAAAACCAGACTCCAGAAATAGACCCACAAACATAGGGTCAATTGATTTTCAACAATGTATCAATACAATTTTTTTTAAAGATTTTATTTACTTGAGAGAAAGAGAGCGTAAGTGAGGGGAGGGACAGAGGGAGAGGGAGAAGCAGACTCCCCACTAAGCAGGGAGCCCAACGCAGGGCTTGAGCCGAGGACCCTGGGATCATGACCTGAGCCGAAGGCAGACACTTAACAGACTGAGCCACCGGTGTCCCAATGCAATTTTTTTAAATCAATGCAGATTCAATGAGAAAAGTCAAATTTTTTCCAAAAATGGTGCTGGAACAATTATGTATCTCTACTGAAAAAAGTGAACTTTGGCCCCTATCTCACATCATACACAAAAATTAATTTGAGATTGACTACAGGCCTTAAATAAGGAATCTAAAACTATAAATTTTTAAAAGAAAACGGAAGAATATTTTTGTGACCTTAGGTAGGCTAAGATTTTTTTCCTAGAACACAAAGACACTAACCATTAAATTTTTAGAGTGACAGGTTGGACTTTATCAAAATTAAAAACTTCTGTTTATCAAAAATCATTAGGGAAGGAGAAAGACAAGCAACAGGTTAAGAGAAAATCGATACATACTTCAAGCAAAGGATTTACAGCCAGAACAAAAAACAACCACAAATAAATAATAAGGAACACGGTCCTAAAGAAATGGGCAAAATACTTGAACAGGCATATCACAAAAGAAGATACCCAAATGGTCAATGAGCACACAAAAGCTGCCCAACTCACTAGTCATCACCAGGATGAGATACCACATACCCACCACAATGGCTAAAGTTGAAAAGACTGAAAACACCAAATTTTGGAGAGAATGTGGAGCAACCAGAACTCTGAAACATTGCTGGTAAGATGGCACAACCACTGGGGACAGACTTTTTGGCAATACTAAAAACAAAAATCACACATACACCTATCCTAGGAGCCAAGGATTCTAGTCCTTGGGTAGAGAAATTAATATGCATGAAAAAAAAAAAAAAGACCTGAATGTGTAGATCTACTCATAATAGCCCCAAACTGCCCAAATATGCCTGAAGAGGAGAATGATAAACAAACTGTATTATTTCATATAGTGGAACCACTAACATATACAACTATATGGATCCATTTCAAAAACATTAAGTTGGGGGCGCCTGGGTGGCTCAGTCGGTTAAGCATCTGCCTTTGGCTCAGATCATGATCTCAGGGTCCTGGGATCCAGCCCCACGCCAGGCTCCTTGTTCTGCGGGAAGCCTGCTTCTCCCTCTCCCTCTCCATCTGCCCTGCCCCCCACTCATTCTCTCTTTCTCAAATAAAATCCAAAAACCAAAACATTAAGTTGAACAAAATAAGTAAGACATAAAATAGCACACGCTGCATGATGTTCTATTTAGATGAAGCTCAAGCACAGGCAAAACTAAAACTACAATGATGGAAGTCACAAGACTGGTTTCCTCTGGGTGAAAGGACAGGGAACCTTTGCTCTGTATCTTGGTCTGGGTGCTGGTCATCAAGGTATACACTTCATATTCGTGTACTGTAAATTATACCTCAATAGAATGCTGTTCTGATCCAAAGCCCAGATACACATATTCTTGTTTCCCTTTGAGAGTAGGTGATTGTTTTTTAGTACAATCTTTCAAATAAAGAACCCAAAGTAGCATATGGGGTCTCTGACACTTAACTCCCCAGTCCTGTTGGCCAAGGTCTCATCTGCCTAGGTTACTGCAGAGATTGGCAGACTCTCAGGACAGCAGTAGCTTCGATCTCCTTTCTTTCCTGTAAATATGCTGATTATATTACATCCAGCACACCCAGGTGTTTGCAGCGGGAGGGCTTCTGTGTTATCCTGGTTGCCCCATTGCAGAACCAGAAGTCTATCCTATATAACTGATAACATTTAAGCTTAAAAAACCAGTGGTATGGGGGAGGTTGTGCATGTGTGGGCTCAGGGATGTATGCTAGAACTCTCTGGACTTCCCACTCAATTTTGCTATACACTTAAAACTGTTGTAAAACATAAAGTTGATTAATGAAGAAAAAAACCTTTACTATATGACCCAGCAATTCCTCTCCTACATGTATATACCTGAGAAAAATGAAAATCTAGGCCCTCACAAAAACTTACAGATGCTCATAGCAGCATCATTCATAATAGCCAAAAAGTGGAAATAACCCAAACATCTACTGACTGATGAATAAATAAAGAAAATGTGGCATATACATATGATAGAATATTATCTGGCAATTAAAAGAAAGGAAGTTCTGACACATGCTACGTGTATGAGCATTGAAAACATTACACTAAGCGAAAGAAGCCAGTCACAAAGGACCACATAACTATATGATTCTATTTATATAAAATGCCCAGAATAGGTGAATTTATGCGCAGCCATCACTATCGTCAATTCTAGAACATTTTTAATGACCCCCCCCAAAGAAACTGCATCCCCCAGCTGTCAACACTCCCAAGTCCCCCATTCCTTCAGGGCTGGGTAAACACTATCTACTTTCTGTCTGTATCTGTGAATATACAACAAGCCATTGAATTCTTTTAAATGGGTCAACTATATACTATGTGACTTATATCTCAATAAAACAGTAAAAACAGGGACGCCTGGGTGGCTCAGTCGTTAAGCATCTGCCTTCGGCTCAGGTCATGATCCCAGGGTCCTGGGATCGAGCCCCGCATCGGGCTCCCTGCTCCGCGGGAAGCCTACTTCTCCCTCTCCCACTCCTCTGCTTGTGTTCCCTCTCTCCCTATATCTCTGTCAAATAAATAAATAAAATCTTTAAAAAAAAAAGATACATGCATAGTTAAGGGGTGCCTGGGTGGCTCAGTCAGCTGAACGTCCGTCCTACTTAGTTTTGGCTCAGGTCATGATCTCATGGGTCGTGGGATGGAGCCCCGCATCGGGCTCCCTGCTCCGCGGGAAGCCTGCCTCTCCCTCTCCCACTCCACCTGCTTGTGTTCCCTCACTCGCTGTGTCTCTGTCAAATAAATAAATAAAGTCTTCAAAAAAATAAAAAATAAATAAAAAAAATTATAAAGCAGTAAAAACATAAAAAACAAAAACAAGAACAAAAAATACAACCAGGAGTAATAACAGGAAACACAGAGCAATGTGCCGGGCATGGTTCTAAATGCTTCTTAGGGATTAACACATTTAATCTTCCTGGCAACTGAAGGAGGTAGGTGCCGCTATCATCCCCAAGTTATTGCTGAGGAAACTCAAGCACAGTTTAGTAACTTGCCTAAGGTCACAGAACAGCAGGGCCAAGATGGGGACCCCATGGCTTGGCTCCAAAGTCCACATTCCCATTTGTTACTTAGGTTGCCTCTTAAAAACAGAACAAAACAAATAAACCAAAAAACCCACACACAGAAAAATAATGGAGACCAGACAGAAAGTGTATTAAATTGCTAACAGTGACTCACCAAGGAAAAGGAAAGCTTTCAAATTTTAATTTAAAACTTCCATATTGTGAGTTTTTCCAACCACTTAATGTCATTTTTAAAAATTTAACATGTTTCGGTAATGTTAGAAGTGGTGTATTAGTGTTGTGGACCTGCAGATGATCTTGTTACTTTTTTATTTTTTTTTTATTATTTTTTTTAAGATTTTATTTATTTATTTGACAGAGAGAGACACAGCGAGAGAGGGAACACAAGCAGGGGGGATGGGAGAGGGAGAAGCAGGCTTCCCGCCGAGCAGGGAGCCCGATGCAGGGCTCGATCCCAGGACTCTGGGGTCATGACCTGAGCCGAAGGCAGACGCTTAATGACTGAGCCACCCAGGCGCCCCATTACTTTTTTATTTTTATTTAATGTTCAAATAATACTTTAGCAATAGGGGAAAAGCACACTAAAAAAGAATTTGCCTTGTTTTGACAACAGCTTTTATCAAAGTACTTCTTCTGGTGGTTTGGTAGTAACCAGATCTCCCAAATCTCAGCTTAGTGGCAATTTCGTGAACCTAATCTTTCATGAATAAATCTTAAGAGTGGGGGGCGCCTGGGTGGCTGAGTTGTTAAGCGTCTGCCTTCGGCTCAGGTCATGATCCCGGGGTTCTGGGATCGAGCCCCACGTTGGGCTCCCTGCTCAGAAGGAAGCCTGCTTCTCCCTCTCCCACTCCCCCTGCTTGTGTTCCTGCTCTTGCTATCTCTCTCTCTGTCAAATAAATAAAACCTTAAAAAAAAAAATCTTAGAGCGGGTATTTACTGAAGAACTAAAACCACTTGTCCAAAGACAAACTCAGTGCTCATTCCCAGATGTCTGCCCACTTATGGCCCCATGAATGCAGCTAACATCTGCATCTCCCAGGCTCACCTTGGAGTAGGTTCTGTCGGAGACACTGCTCGATGCATCGTCATTGGCCTTGTGAAATACACCAGATACCCTGACAAAGGAGACACACATGTGCACATCAGGGTCAATGAGCTACACGTGGGAAATCCTAAGGAAGCCCTGGACAGTCCTGGCTGTGGCCATATGTAACAAGGACAAAGGTCAGAATCTCTAGGATCCAAGAGAGATGGGATGTGTGTGGTATGGAAAAAATCTTTTCAGGTACTTTATATTTCTTTGCTAGGGGACCCGTCCTGTGTTGAGAATCAGGGATCTGAATTAGACTCAAATTCATGCTCACCAGAATGAAAAGAATTAAAACTGTAATTTTGTTGAACATTCCCAGGATATGTCCACAGAAGCCAATTCAGCATCAGACCACTTAACACTACAGCAGTCTTTTGAGGTCCCAGGAAACAAAAACAAATGAAAATTTCCTGATTTTTCTGAGATTTCTTTACAGACTACAGGACATTCTGGGCTTCTTGCTCTCAAAATCTAGAATCAGAGAACCAAAAAAGAGACCAACCTGCTCCGCAGAACCTGGCCCCCGAGGTTCTAGGGAAGGGAATATTGGCATCCTGGTATGACCCATAGGCAGTGGTCACTCGGGCAAACGTTGGTAAGGGCGGAGTGACAGAGTTTGGGAGTGCAAAGGGGTTGCTGGAAGTGCTGTCTTCTTGGTTCTGAAATTTAAAAGTTAACAGACTAAAAACCACAAGCTGTCTTAAAGCTGACTTACAAAATAAGGACACATTAGTTTGGGGAGGAAGAAACGAAACAAAACATCAAAGCATAGGTTGGTACAAGAATCCCACCACGAAAGACTCAAGGCAGGAGACGAGCTGGCGCAGGCAGGGCTCCAAACAACTCTGGTTTCGTTTCACTTTTTGCAGGGAAGTGTCTTTCAGGATCTAGAAAAGGCACGAAACACAGTCAAGAATAGCAACATTCCTTCTCCTGATTCACTTTTCTTCTTCAAAGCAGTGGGAAGTCGTGAAGATGCAGGGAGGCTGGAGCTGTGTCTGAGGCTTCGGCATCCTACTTTCCACCTGACTCTAGAGGCTCACAGAGCATATTCGAGAAGCCCTCTCCTTAGCCACACATTTGAGAACACATTTCTTTCTGGTGAATTCTACTCCTTTCCTCACCTTCTAGCTGAACCCCCAACCCCTCATGAAAATTTCAGTATCCTAGAAATAATACCCAATACAGGCCAGGGGGAACAGATTTCACTTCGGTGGAAATTACAATGTATCTTTTTTTTTTTTTTGCTTCTTTAAAAATATAAATCCTAACATTTTAAGGCATATGCTATAGACATAAACTGACATACACATACTGAAGACAAGTGTGTAACTGGGCCTGCGTGTCCAACATGGAAGTCATTACCCACATGCGGCTACACAGCATGACAGCATGTGAAATGAGGTAGTCTGAATAGAGATGTGCTGGGGCGCCTGGGTGGCTCAGTGGGTTAAGCGTCTGCCTTCGGCTGGAGTCATGATCTCGGGGGTCCTGGGACTAAGCCCAGCTTCAGGCTACCTGCTCAACAGGGAGTCTGCTTCTTCCTCTCCCTCTGCCCCACCCCCCTGTTTGTTCTCTCTCTCTCAAATAAATAAAATCTTAAAAAAAAAATAAAAAAAGGAAAGGGCCAGCCTCAGTTGTTAGGCGTGCTGAATTGAAATGTGCTGTAAGTGTAAAATTCATACCGAGTGTTGAAGACTTAGTACAAAAAAGAGAATGCAAACTCTTGCAATAATTTTTATATGGACTACATGCTGAGATGAGAATGCTTTGCATATACTGGGGTACGTAAAAATATTACTGAAATTAATTTACCTGCTACTTTCAATTTTTTTTTTTAGTGTGGCTACTAGAAAATTTTAAATTACGTGTAGCCTGCATTATATTTTTATCAGGCAGCACTGAATTAGACCTTTAAAGATACTTCCTAATCCTATCATTTTTAATCCTATCATTTTAATAACAATAGGAACATCTATCTTTTCTGCATGTGCAAATAAGACAATGAAATATTCAAATTCCAAGTACAGACAAACAAAAAAACAGACTCCCAACTATAGAGAACAGATGGTTACCAGAGGGCAGGTGGGTGGGAGGATGGGTGAAACAGGTGATGGGGATTAAGGAGTGCGCTTGTCGTGATGAGCACTGAGTAATGTATAGAATTGCTGAATCACTATATTGTACACCTGAAACTAATTTAACACTACATATTATACTTGGATGAAAAATAAAAATTTCCAAGCACAAAATGCACTTATACTACAAAATCAGAGTAGCATTTGAGAGATCCTTACACCACTTGAAAATTTTCTTGGTTACATATCTTCCCCCAGGAAGATGGGTCAAGTGTATATGATACAAACTAGGCAAAGGGTGTGTAGTATTTGGGTCATCTTGGTTTGTCAGGACATTTCAGTTACTTCACTCATGACGCTGCTCAAACTGAAAAAGGTGTATCATACCCAGCTCGTGGGGCTTTTTAAATGGAGATTCTGCCTGATTAGCTCTGATTAGAACTGCCAAAGCAAGTTTCTGAGGCTGCAGGAGCAAGGACTAGATGCCAGGCTATCCCACCTCCATTCAGGCACCACCATCCCTTCAGATACCTCACCTGGGCAGCCAGCCAGCCTCACCTGAGGATGACACCACCTCTTTTCTTGGAATGGATTTTTTTTTTTTTTATTGCCTTACATTTTGTTTTTGTTTTTAAGTAGGCTCCATGCCCAGCATGGGGCCCAATGCAGGGCTTGAACTCACGACCCTGAGATCAAGACCTGAGCTGAAATCAAGAGTCGGATGCTTAACTGAGCCACTCCGGTGCCCCTTGTTTTCCGATGATAAAGTATCTTTTAGCTTCAGAATACATCTTGCCGGGCGCCTGGGTGGCTCAGTTGGTTAAGCGACTGCCTTCGGCTCAGGTCATGATCCTGGAGTCCCAGGATCAAGTCCCACATCGGGCTCCCTGCTCGGCAGGGAGTCTGCTTCTCCCTCTGACCCTCCCCCCTCTCATGTGCTTTTTCTCTCTCATTCTCTCTCTCAAATAAATAAAATCTTTAAAAAAAAAAGAATGGGGCGCCTGGGTGGCTCAGTCGTTAAGCGTCTGCCTTCGGCTCAGGTCATGATCCCAGGGTCCTGGGATCGAGTCCCACATTGGGCTCCCTGCTCAGCAGGAAGCCTGCTTCTCCCTTTCTCATTCCCCCTGTTTGTGTTCCTGCTCTTGCTATCTCTGTCTCTGTCAAATAAATAAATAAAATCTTTAAAAAAAAAAAAAGAATACACCTTGCCTACTGTTTCCAGATAAATGAAAATGTACTGCAGGGTTCTTAACCAGGGATTAATGCATAGCTTTAATGACATCTATAAGCAGATTATATACAATTATAGAACTACAACTATATTTCTAAATTATATACAACATTTGTGCAAATTTCTCTGGGGAAGGGTCCATTGTTTTCGTTGGATGTTCAAAGGGGGTCCATGATCCAAAAAGGTTAAGAACCACTGCTCTGATGTTTTCTATACACAATGAAGTTATCACGGAAGCACACACATACAGAAGACTTTCAAATCTTACCTACTGGAGTTTTCATTCAACTTTACCACTCAACTTAGCTGCTGATGCCTGTGAACAGACGTCTCCTCTTACAACACTAAGGGGAATGTGTGGACACAGACCCCTACCTTTAGCAGCTTCGCTTTCATCGTGGATGTGATGGTTGTGGGGTTGACAAACTGGAAGGAAGGGGCAGCGTTGTTGGGGTACTGCGCAGGGAACTTCACCAGCATCTTGACACGGTGACCACTGCAGTGCACGGATACTGTGCAGCTCCTGTCCGCCGCGTCCATCTGCAGACGACAGAGGGACAACTGCTCGCGAGATGAGCCATCGGGCATCTCCGGACGCAAATGAATTTATTTATTTATTATTATTA